TGTTAACACACAGACCTCACGGATGTGAACCGCAAACCTCAGAAATCGCAAACCCCAGTAAATTAAAGCGGCAGTGACCATGAGACCCGGGTAAAGAGTGCCCCCAATGATACGACCCAGAGGATACCAACTCTCAGAATCAAACCAATTCCAGAACTCATAGAAACCTTTCTCGGTCAAGAAAAGTGTGGTCCGATAATTGAAGTAAGGATCGAACTCATGGATCATGGACTCGTATCGCAGAACACTGAAAAGCCGAGTGATGAAAGCCAATACATAGACGAGTAATAGGATGGAAACCCGGATCAGCAGCTCCTGCTGCTTGGTTTTCAGTTTAAAGCTCTTCAAAGAAAGGATGTTCGACAGATCGGTCTTCAATGCCGACGCCCGCATTGCTGCTGGACCGCTCTGGTTCGATCCAGATTTTACAGTCCCGTTCAAGGGTTCAGCTTTCCCAGCCATAAGACAACAAGGATCTATGTTAATTTGAGATGTGGGATTACTATCGAGGATTTTCCATGAAAACTTTCTCGGAAAAATGGTGAGTCAACAGTGAAATGGGTTGTGGATGTAAACTAGTGGCGCAAAACCCTAGAACTAACAGGGATTAGATTAAAGTCCAGTTTTTTGCCGGTGGAACTCGAAACAGAGAGCCAAATATGCGATGATCCATAGACGGCTCTTCCACCAATTACAGAAAGTCAATCCTTTTGTACCTATTAGCTTTTTAAAAAAAATTATTTATTTATTTCATATGTAGTTTGATTGAGCTGTAATTCAATCTCTAATATGTAACTCGTTATGATTTCATCTTTATAATTTCGATTCAATTAAAATTCAAGACGTGTTTGGCAATTTATTTTAAAAATATTTTTTATTTTTTAAAATAAAAAAAGTAAAAAAATTTATTTAATAACATATTTTTTAAAAGTATTTTAAAAAATTAAAAAATAAAATATTATTTTGAAAAATAAAAAAAAACATTTTTTAAGTGTTTTGATATTATTTTTATGAAGAAAAAAGAAGAATGAAAAAAATACTTATTTTTTTAGAACATGTTTTAAAAAATATTAATTTTTAAAATAATAAAATAAAAATAATTCTAAACAAGCTCTCAATATTTAAATTTTAAAGTATTATAACTCAATTTTTTTAATTTTAATTATTTAAACTATTGATTCTTATATCTTAAAAATAAATTTTAAAAAATTAAAATTATATTGACATTTAAACGTTAATATTTTAAATTATTAAAATTTTTAATTTGATAAAGATTATAAAAAATTAAAATTTTAAAATAATGTTAATATTTTAATTTTATTTTTTAAAATATAAAAATTAATATTTTAGATGATTAAAATATAAGAATGAAGTTGCAATAAATAAAATTTAAAAATTAAATTACAATCAAATCGGAACTTTAAAAATTAAATCAGAACAAGTTAAAATTTAAAAATTAAATTATAATTAAATTAAAATTAAAGGGCTAAATGATTTTTTTTGGCCAAATATTAGCCATCTCTTCTCCCTCCACCTTCATTGATGGTTGCCGCAGCTTCTCCTTGCCACCATCATGGACTTCTCCTTCTACCTTTATCAACTTCGCCTGCTCCACCTTCATTGACAACCCAATCTAGTTTGAATTTAATAATATTGTCGTTCACGTCGTTGCTCCCTCAAAGCCCCTATGCCACAAGTGCATATCGTTGTTCCACGCCGAGTTACACGACCTCGGCGCCACCTAGCGACAAAAACTCAGGCGGGTTAAAATGATGTGGTTTGGTCGCGTTTCGTGACCTTTGATATGGTTGTGCTATATCTTGACTCAACCAATAAAGAGAAGGTTTCATGACTAAGAACAGAGCGATGTAGGCAAGTGAGGCCGAAGAAATGGTGGATTTAATCAAGCCCGTGGGCAAGATTAGTGGGGATTTGCATCTGAAAAACCAAAGTCAAGAACCAACCCATTTAAACCCATATAACAATAGGATCAAGCTTATAAATATAACATTAAAATGGTAAATTAGGCTTTAACAAGCCGGTCCTTAAAAGTCAAGGGCCAGCCCATTTAAGCTGCATGTATAATTTTTTTAAAATCAATTCTCATGACTTTGACTTCTTTTGAACTTAGAAAAAAATTAAACTAAATCTTACGCCATATCACAATTGAACCCATATTTGTTGAAGAAGGAAGGCAAAAAAAAAAAATACAAACCTAAATTTCCTAATTCATTGAGATCTCCTAGTCCCATATCTCAGTCCCTCAATCTCATCTAATCTAGATTGGACATTTGTTAACTTAGCTGATCCATTACTTATTGCCTTGTTGTCATTTCATTTGTGTTTTTAGTTTATTTACATGTGATTTAATTAGTTTTCTCATTGCTTTCTTGATTGGGTATTATATTGGAATGAAGTAATTTTGTGTTTGATAAAAAAATTTGAAAAAAATAAAAATAGTTAAAAGGGCCTAAAGCCCACGGGGCTGGCCCTGAACTTGCTGTGTCGAAGGTTAGGATTCACATTTTAAAGTTATAAAGAGAATTTAAACGTAAACAGGTTGGCCCTTTTAGGCTCGAGCCCTCACGAGCTAGCCCTACAAGGCCAAGCCAGCCTGTTTTCCTAGCTCTTGAGTAAGCCAAGACGAGAGATCAATGAAGCTAGGATTCAAATGATTTTGAAGACAATCAAGAAGATTCATGCCTTGAACATAATCATACACAAGATAAATGGAATTATTGAAGATTGATGCCTTGAGAAGTGTGATCAAGCTACCATGTGGCTTGCACAAATGACACAAAACCAATCATGAAGCTCCGACAAGTCCATGGGATGATGAAACCTGCGCTGGAAAACCAAAACATCCTTGTGCAGTTATGGAGTGTTGGTTATGAAGTTGATGACAGGGCAACGAGAATTGGACACTAGGGAGGAATGCTTGGTTTAATAGGGAAGAAATAAGCTAATTCGAGGAGAAAATCTTGAAGAACTGTGGCCTTGTTTGGTATGCAGGCCTGAATTTAAAGGGATTGGGATTGGGATTGGGTTTGGGTTTGGGTTTGGGTTTGAGGCTTTAAAATTATGTTTGGTATGAAGTAATAATTGTAGGGAATACTTTCCTTCATTTCATTTTATAATTAAACATAAATTATAAAATGACTATTATACCCTTTATAATTAATAAAAAATAATTTCCCTAAAACCCATCATTCATCCTCCCTAAATTTAATATGAAGGCGAGCAAATTCAAAGGCAAGAAAGTGACTAAATGCATAGTGGTGGAGGACAACAGAGGTAGATGGAGAGAGAAGGGAGGAAGATGAAGAGAGAAGACTCAAACAAAGCACACCAGCATTTCACCACTCTCTCCTCCATGTCGATCACTTCTCTTCTGTAGTGTTCGATTTCTTTTCAAACCTTAATTCAATTTCCACGATCAACTACTCAAAGATTCATGGAGCTCTAGATATTCAGGAAGATAACATCACAATTTGGATTTTTGATTGTGTTAGTTACTTTGATCTATATTACCTACATTTTCTGTTGCAATTTTTGCCCAAATTCATGGTCTGGTATGAACTTTCGTCTGAAGTCGTTCATTTGATTTCTGTTAGTTTTGCACGTTTTGGGTTCAACTGGTTCTAATCCAAAGAGAACTGTGTTCGTATGGTGCAAAATTTATAATTTTTAACGTTTTTCAAGATGTTCTCGAAAGGAAGATGAGATTTGTAGGATGAACAATGCTGGTATTGCGTGGTGGAGTGCGCAAGGGCCAAGTAGCAATGAAGAAACAAGAACAAGTGGGAGGCGGGCGACAGCAATAGTAGCAAAGCCTAAGGCCACAAACCAACAAAAGAAGGTGGTGGCTGATGAGAATGGGAGTAATTTGGTCTAAAAAAAATCAATTTCAAGATTGATTTCCCAATACCAAGGGAGTGGTGGCATTGGGTAATCTCATGTAGATGGCATTGGGATTGGGATTAAATTTCTCAATGTTCTGTACCAAACACAAAAAGCTAGTACTAACCAATGCCAAGCCCAGTCCCATCCTTCTAATGCTTCATACCAAACTGGCCCTATGGGTTCTCAAAAGGTGTAGGGAGATGTTGGGTGAGAAAATCTCGAGAAGGGCAAACAACGAGGGAGGATGCTAGGCGAGGTTTATGTTAACCCATGTGGAGTTCTATTAAGTGCAAAAGATTTGCCAACTATATCATCTTTAATTCTTATTAAAATTTTATTAGTCAAACATTGGTCAAAGGTAAAAAAAAAAAAAAGCAATGTTGCTCACTTTTAATACTTTTGAGACAATCTTACTCCTTCTAAAAGGTAATGGTATTCAGTACTCTTTTAAAAAAAACTTTAACATTGCTCCTTTATACTAAATAAAATTGCAAATGTTTGTCTATGACAAGCTAAAAATTTAAATTCCGTGATATGCTTTCATTGAATGAGTCAATAATATCCAAAAAAAAAAAAGAAACACCTTTTTTCAACACTTTATCACAATTAACTGACGAGACTATTTTTTTTCCACACATTTTTTGATTTTTTAAATTATTATATATAATCATCAATATCATTATAAAATATAAAATTTATCTATAAATAATTACAGCAAGTCAGTACCATTTTTTTTTCAATGATACAACTCATTTTTTAAAAATTTATATAATGCCTGAAAACTCATGTTTAGTTATTTTCAAAATGACAATAATTGTTCTTAGAAATAACAATTCTCCATCTATCTCCCTCGGCTATGCTGTAGCATTTCATCATGGTTTTGAATTTATATATAAATTTTGGCCAAAATGAAAGAATTTTTTTGAAAATTGTCTTTTTCATTATCTATCTGTTTTACCACATTAAATTAAATTTGTATTTATTCCATGTATTGCACACAGTTCTGTACACCTAAATAATACCCACTTGAATTATAATTTTTTTATTTTTTTATTTTTGAAGTTTAAAAGACTGAACAATCGTTACAGCAAAAGCAATTGGAAAGTCTGAAGTTCACATTAGTGTGAATCAGTGAAGCGTTCATTATTTTTTTTCACTGTTTCAGTGTTTTCAAAACAGTCACAAAAGAAATACAATAAGAATCTTGAATTGCTTTCATTTTACTTCAATGAATTCGTCTCCAAATGAAAGTGGATGAGCGATCCAATAATTTGTCAACAGAAGTAAAATGTTCTCAGCTCTTTGACACAGAAAGCCAACTATGAGAAGTCTTGAACTAGTGATAAAATTGGATGAGGTCAAATTTCTGAAACTATCCCACCAAGGTCCTCAAGCAAGAATCAAGAATGGCAGATCCAATTTTAGCAGGCGACTCAACTACTCTGACCCCAGCTTCCCTCAGAGTCTCAATTTTGTCCTGAGCAGTGCCCTTGCCACCTGACACAATGGCTGCACCAGCAAAACCAATTAACATTGAGAATGTCCAATTAATATAATCACGGTACACGAAGAAAGCAAAAATGAAGGTCTCCACAGAGTTGTTTCTCTTTTAATTTTGAAAATCACCAGTTTCCTTTCTAAATAATGTCAATGACCCACAAATAATTTGCTATCCAGCAACCAATTTGAATGTATTGCATGTACAAAAGTAGAGGAAAAAAGACGGATAGAGGAAAAAAGAGATTATGGATGTAAATATTATGTAACGTACATCCTACACAAAGTTATATTTGTGTTACTCTCTGTGTTTGTGTGTTCCTCTGTGCGAATGCATGTAAATACATAAATGTAAAAAATCCAATTTGATTCAATAACCATAATAATAACGAGAACATGTATTCCACATTAGTTAGTATTTGACAGGCATAACTGCGGAGCTGCTTTCAAAAACGAGCTTTTGCATGTAAGAGCATCTTTGGCCTCACGCAACTTTTTCATAAACTTATTTGATTTTCGATACTTGTATATAATTTAACACTGACATATTTAATCATAATGAATCTCTCTATCTCTGGCATTTCATGACCTCGAATTTTTGTATTCTCTGTCATGATTTTATTTGCATATTGTTGTTTTATAGCTTGATGCAACCGAAGAATTAATAATAAATAATTATTAGTCAAACATGGGCCACTAAAAACTTGATTATCCCTTGTGTTAGTGTCCACTTGGGCCAGGAAAACAATTTGATGTGCACACAAAAACAGGAAGTAAATAAATCCGCCGAAGAAGCTGTCCCCCCCCCCCCAAAAAAAAAAAAAAAAAAAACTTTATTTATCATGACAATTAACAACCTAAAATAGTTTGTTTCTATCTAATGCCGTCAGATTCAAAACTTGCTAAGAGATCTCACCTCCAGCATGACCCATGCGACGGCCAGGGGGAGCTGTTAATCCAGCAATAAATGCGACGATAGGCTTCTGAGTCCCACTTTCCTGCAAGTAATTCAAAATCTTCGAAGTTATTCAGAACCCATAGACACAGTCAACAAAGAACATGGTAAATATGTGAAAATATGAACTCATTCCTAATCTGAAGAATAAAGGTATCAAGCATGCATAGTGTCAAATAACCCCAAATAGGCATTTGACATTTTTATACATTGATAAAGAAGGAGGATTTACATTCACGATATATTTCATATTTTGTTGGTTGTTTGTCAACCACAACCCTTTATGCAGCTTGGCAATTGGCATCAGTTTTGCTACAATAAGCATTTACAAAATAAAATTGCATTAAAAACTATATTTCATGTCATGAGTGAACAAATAGATGGAATCTAAGAATTTTAACTTTAATGAAAAAAAGGAAAAGAAAAAAAATCCATTTCAAAATGCCCTAAGCCAAAGGCAGGGCTTTGAAGTAGAAACCTTTAGAAAGTGCATTTGAATAACTCCATAAGTGAGTCACATGCAATTTATGCAATTCGTCCATCATTTTTGCCAATGTGTACGGCTTTAGCCATCCAACCATATTTGTAAATGTCTAAAAGACTTTGATTTCCCATATTTAACATTTGGTACATTAAGTATAACATATATTAATTAAATCAGCACTTCACCTTGGTGAACCTCAGTGAAAAGTATCAGATCTCAAAATACAATGATGGTGTGTGTCAAAATAACTATTGCTCAACATCAACAAACCAATATATATATTGAAAAAAGAAAAAAAAAAAGGAAAAATGAAACCATGCCTAAACAAGAGGATTAAAGAAAAATACATAGTTTATGGGTTGGAAAACATGTAAGGAACATCATGAAGAAGTAAAATTAATTGATTTTAAAACAGAAGAAAAATCAGTGGTGTACGATTTAATTTAAGTAAAATAGAATAATAACACCACAAGAAATACCCAGAGTCCCAGACCCAGGTAATGTTTAGTTGAAGCCTCTGTGAGCCAACAAAGTATGAAGTAAAACCTTTCTCCAGACACATTAGGCAATACAAATCATAAACTTATGTTCCTTTCCACAGAACAGGGAAATAAATTTTAATTTTGCAAATGGTCATAAGAATTTAAACAGAAATCCATGCAGAGGAAAAAAAGACATGGAAAGCAAACCTTAATTAGTGCAGCAGCATCTTCTTCAGCAGTTCCCCCTATCTCTCCTATGAGAACTATGCCTAAATTGCATAAATAAAAAAATAAACATCAATAAAGTACATGCATGATGAGCAAAAAAGCAAACATAATACAAACAACTTATAGTAATATCATGGATTACGAAATCCCATTCAATGAAAAGACAAAACAACATAGAACTACTCTTCAAAAAGCACTACCATCTAACACCACCATCCTACCTTGAAAGAAATCCAGTGCAATGGATAGGGCACTATATCACTGGACAAAACTGATTCTCCCCACTTCCTCTTTCCCCAGCTCCCACGTGGTCAACACTCAACTTTCAGGCATCCTATCTTTCCGTCAACTTTTGACATACACTGTCAAATTTTCATCCAATACCTGATGACCCCTTGGCCAATCACCTCAAAGAGTAAGTAATGTTCCAGGCATCTAAATTTTGTTTATCTTGTTTGGAACAAGAGCTTTGGTAAGAATCTACAAATTGTATACAGCGCCAAGGTTCTGACTTCTGACTCTCCCAAAAAGGACAGAGTACCACAATACAAAGTGACCAAGATATCAATACAGATAGGAGGATAGAAGTACCTTACAATGTTACAAATCCAATTAAGGTACCCTACTATGCATTTCCCCCCATCTTACGCATAGCTTTCTCTGCTTTACCATAACTCCTTTTGCTTGTCCAATTTTCCGCATTTCTATGCTATGAAATGATGCTAGTGCATTCCCAAAACTGAGCATTTTCATTGCAGTTACTATGGAAACGGTTGGCATTCTACTGTATGCTTGTCACCAATTTCTTCTAATGGAAATTTTCGGAGATGTACTCTCCATGAAATACCTTTGAGATAATTTATCAAACTGAATGATATCCTATTACATCACTGTTTCAGTTTCCCTTTTGAAATTGAAAAACTATATATGCAAATGCTAAAGAAAGAATGTCATTGAAAGCTAATCTCATGCAGGGTTGCCTCTCCCAAATCCGAACTTGAATAAGAATGCATTACCACTACAGCAGTCCAAGCTCCTCTGCCAAGTCAATCGCATCTTTCTCACTTTAACGTGAGAAGCTTTAAAATGCCCATACCCAGGCCAAATACCCAAATAATTATTCATCACAATTTTATTGCAGAAGGAATTTTGTAATTTTTTTAAAAAAATTATGCTTGCATTGGGTAAATAAATGGAAAAGGCCACCATACCATACACCTAAATAATAAAACATTAAAACTCCATCAAACCCTCACAAAGATTTTGATCAAATTGATACCTTGCTAGCTTGATTATTTGCTCAAGCCTGATTGTCTTGAAAACTATAATCCCTCTATTTGTTCACCTTGGCCCAAAGAAAGATCAAAGTATTACTAATGAGCCCAACATCCAAGCGGGCCGTGTTTATGAGAGAAAGAGGGCCACTAAGCTACCCAAGGAGCAAGGTACAGAAATAGGCACTGATGCTGGCCCAAGGCCAAATGTGGACAAGGGTGAGACTGTTATGTAGGGTTGTGCGCCCTAAGGAAAGGATTCAGGCTTTTTGCTTGGTTCATGGGAGAGTCTTGACCTCTCGAACATCAGGGGAGAAGCATGTCACTTCCATTTTCCTCCTTGTTCATTTACATTTCTGCTGCTATTTTCTGGTTTTATTCACTGTAACAGCTCTAGTTAGTTGCAATATCCCTTTTTCCTCTTCCTTTCCCTATAGAAGAGGCTGTAACTAACCTGGTAAAGTGATTTCTAAAAGACGATTTCCTCAGTTCTATCACTTTCTCTATAATAATTAAAATGGGGCAATGACCTTGAGGATTTCATTTCTTTTGGATTAGAAATGGGCATTAGTGTGCCAATGAGATCATAGCTCAAAATCACATAGCACCACCCCCAGACTGTTTAGATTGTGGAGCACTTCATCTCCAGGGTTGGATGTCTACTCCTTTCCCCATTCCGTACTTCTCAAGCTTAAAGCATTTCACAAAAGGAAAAAAAAAAAAGATAGGTTTTGCTTTTCTTTCTTTGGACAGAGGGGAAATGAGTTCATTTTTAAATCAGAGATCAAGGAGCCTAAACCATGAAGTCAATTTACATGACAGGCACAAAATAAGATGTGAAGTACCTTTAGTCTGTGGATCTGCTAGGAATCGCTCCACGCAATCAACAAAGTTCGTTCCATTAAAAGGATCTCCACCTATGCCCACACAAGTGGATTGTCCAAGTCCAACAACACTTGTTTGGAAAACCTGAATAAGTATATTGATTTCATTGTTATATAAATTGATTTTATCAGCATCATAGTAGTCTTCAAGACTTCAAAATTAGAGCTCACCGCTTCATACGTCAAGGTGCCAGAACGAGAAACAATTCCTATACAACCAGGTTTATGAATGTAACTTGGCATGATTCCAATTTTACATTCACCAGGCTTGATGATACCAGGGCAGTTTGGTCCAATTAGACGAGTCTTAGACTGTCTATTAAGAGCAGCTTTCACTCGTACCTGAAAATTGAAAATATTAACTTCAAGTTTGTTCAAATGCAACAGAAAGGTGAATTGCGCTACAGCTTTCAATGGCTTTATTATATATTCCTCAATATCTCCAATGACATATTTGTTCAAGCTATGCATTGGCAATCTAATTTTCCATGAATAGATTGAATAATACACAAAATAATACACAACTAATGGAATCATCGAAATGAAAAATTATGGATTCCAAATAGGATAGGATAAAAGTACCTTACAGGAATATGAAAATGAATGACAAATTATTCAATATTTTACATAAGTAGAGTGGTTCTACATAATCTGGCAAAAAGAGTTGAACATTTAATTGTAAGTTACCGAGTTGCAATGCCATGAAAACAACAAACCCGAACATATTATGCAGTACAAGTTGAATTACCATATCATGCTGAGGAATCCCTTCAGTGATACAGACAACAAGATCCAACTCAGCTTCCACTGCCTCCAAAATGGCAGCTGCAGCAAATGGTGGAGGAACATAGATGACTGAAGCATTTGCCTTTGTTTCAGCTTTTGCTTCAGCAACAGTGTTAAACACAGGAAGTCCTAGGTGTTCAGTCCCACCCTTCTTTGGTGTTACACCGCCCACCTATTTGAACAAAATAAAATTAAAATGAAAATACCCCATGCCCAACAATCAAACAAAAAGAGGCACCTAAATAGACACACTAGAGAAGTATCGAACAGAAAAACATAAAATATGCACACATCAACTATGAATCCATGTGTAACGACAGTTGTTAGCACATGAAATACATGTACATGAACCTAAATTCTGTGCAGAAATGGCCTCAAGTCTTATAACAACAGAGTCTACGCAGAAATCCTTTCAATATGATAAAAATTCTTCCAGATAAGGTCTGATAGCAATGAAACCATATGCTTCTTTTCTTATCAGAAAAGGTCGTTCCCATATCACCTGTTTTGCTCTCCTAGCATGCTAGCATTCTAAGAAACAAAACGGATTTTTTTATCAGCTGGTAGAATATGACCTTCAAAATAACGGAAAAGCCAATGGTTAAGTAATAAAATTCAGGTGGGCTCCACCCACGAGAGTAATACCCAATCAGAGAGGTTCAAAATTTTAAACTCAGAAGTAAAGCGCATTTGCTATGTTGTAATGGGATAGCTCAAAAAGGCCCCAAAATATCAGTTATCAAGTCCTTCCATGTACTCTCTCCGGTATTTATTGCAAGATACTTTCAACCGTGCATCTTAAAAAAAATTAATTTTTTTAATATCATAAAAAATTGATATATATTTTCATTTTTACCCTTAACTTTAAATAATAATATATCTATATTAAATACCTTCACAGTTCACACTAATCAGAAAAGGATAAAATTAGAAAAAGTGATTTAATTATTACAAGTGTCCTACATTTTGAACAATAATTACTTCTGGTGTCTTACAAAATAGGACGGGGGAGTGTATACTTAACGATCAGCTTTCATGCCCGGAATCACAACTTGCTACAAAAGGTTATCCCAATTGATATAAATGTATATTCAATCAAAGCCCAATCTATAAAACTGTCTAGAAAAGGGTGGCTTCAATTTCAATCAGAGTTCATTCCTTTGGCAAGTTGTTTTTCTCAAGTTAAGCAATATCACGTAAGCTAAGTGATAAATAGTAGAGCAATTGAATCTTAATATACATGTATATCATCAAATGTCCCATAGAATTCAACGGCTTGCTGAGCAGACACGACCGAGAGGCAACATATCGTTCACAGAATTAAATCCCAGCGAAAGAAATAGATACAGTTGACCAGACACAGGCAAACAGGAAATATAGATCCCAGAAAAGGTACCATCTTGGTTCCGTATTCGATGGCTTGCTCACTGTGGAAAGTGCCATTCTTGCCGGTGATGCCTTGGCAGATGACGCGTGTGGTCTTGTCAACGAAAACGGCAGGAGAGGGTGGCGCTGACGTGAAATGGCGGATCTGAGTGGAAGAAGAAGGAAGTGACGGCGATGAAGATGATTCGGCGCGTGACACAATCGAGCTGATCAACTTCGCTACAGCTCGGCGACCCATGATCCACCCTGATATGCTGTGCTCTTTGCTCTGTTTTCCGGTTCACACTCTTTGCTTGCTGGCGATACACCCTGGTCACGATCATGAAATCATTCCTCGCTCTCTTTTGAAAAATAAAAAAAATAAAAAAAAATAATTACCCAAATTTTTTTAAAAACAATTTTTTAATTAATTAAAAAAATTTGATGATTACAATTATACTCCTATTAGAAACCATTTTATTTGAAAGCATTAAATATAGACGTCTCCTTTTATTCGAACCATTGTAAGACACTAACTCTTCAATAGATCTCAATCTTCTTTAACTCCTTCCTTTTAAAACATAGAGATTTTAAAGTTTTAAAAGAGGGACTAAAAATACAATTAATTAATGCGTTAAAATATTTATCATATTGCTAAATTTGTTCTTAATATATACATCAACAAATTTCACTTTACTCATAAATAATGGTATCATAGAAAAATGTTAATAAATATTGTTTTGATATAAAATAAAAAAAAAATTTCATCCTTTTTTTTTTATGAAGTAAGGTTAGAGTTATATTGTGGAATGAATGGAGTATTAATCTTTTTATTTTTTTTCCCTTTAACTTTCTTTGAGAATGAAGTTGTCATGTGTTGAAATTTGAGAATGACCAGCACATAATAAGTGTATAAAACATATATCTCTTAATTCTTGATTCAATAAAATTTTCTATTTTTTTAAAAAAATTATAATTGTATTTGTATTAGATTTAGGGCATCCTCAATACTTTTCCTTTAAACAATGCCTTAATATTTCTACGAAAATTTTGAAAAAATGTATCAAAAATTCTATAACATAATTTTCAAACAAAATCACAACAATTAGGAGCTTTGCTCCTTTTAGCCAACAGAAAAAGTATATAACAAAAATAATAGGAGATATTTTTGTGGAGTATCTAATCATATTTTCAAAAGATAATATATAAATTTTATAATTACATAAAAAAATATTTACAAAACAAATCTCCACTCAACCTAGCGAAAAATCCCTCAGTGATTAATAGGACGCATAATGTCAGTTACACTATCTAAAATCAAATTAAATACTTTTCAATAAATAACATCCAAATCATAAAATTTGTAAGATTAAAATAAATAATTTACAACAATTATAAAAATTAAAGAGAAAGCCATTCAATATAATAAAATTAGTGAACACAAAATCCACAAGGGTGAATAACTAAATGCAACTTGTGCCATTAAGATAAATGTAAACACAATCTACAAGGATAAGTAATCAAATGTAGCTTGAACTATGAAACAAACATGGACACCCCAGTCCATAAGATAATACTAACCAAACATAGCTCAAAACGATAAAAACAAATACAGGTGTTAGATCCATAAATAACAAACATGAGAATATATATTATAAAAATTACACTAGCTAGTAATTGACCATAGCATGCCAAGAGTTAATCAAATTTTTTTAATAATTAGTGTTTTGTATAAAATCTCCTCGAAATGTATTTTCAAAAGATGAGAAAATTGTAACATTCCAATTTAAATTTTATTAGTTAATTTAGGTTGATAAAAATTTTAAAAAATATTTAGAGGTTAGTAAATTATTTAGGAGATAATTATTGGATTAATTTAAGATAAAATTCTATCTTAAAATTATTAGAAAATATAATTATTATTGCCATTATCATTGTTATTAAAAATAAAAATAAAGCGGGGGACGGATGTTTGGTTGTGTAAGTGTATATATGAATATGTATATATGTATGTATAGAGAGAGAGAGAGAGAAAAGGCTGGGGGTGGGGAGATTTATAGCAGGTATATCAAAAAGGAAAAAAAAAAAATATGAAAGAGGGAGCTTTAGGTCGTGGGACCCACATCTTTTTAAAAACAACACACACCCAAATCCTCTTTTAATTTCTGATTTGATAATGATAAAAAATATAAAATTTAAAAGAGAGATGAATTTAGATTGAATAAATATAGTTGTTGACGTTGTTAATAATATAATAAATATTTTAGAGTATAAATTTATTAATGAGATTTAAATTTGAGGCTTATGAGTTAAACCCCAGACTCCTATGAATAGATTTTTGTTAAATCTAAAAATATATGTTAATTTATTTAGATTTAGATAATTATTTGAGATAATAAATAGATTATTATAACTATAAATGATGATTCTTGACTTGACTTGAGACTAAATTTATAATTTTTAAATATTTTTAAGTACAAATTTATAAAATAAAAAGGAAAATTTTGATAATAAAAATGTGTTTAGAGGTTAATTTTAGTTTATTAATATTTATTAATGACAGTACTAAAAGAGGAATTAAAAAATTTTACTTGACAGTACTAACTCTAGATTTATATTAATAATGAGATTAAAAATTATGTTATATTATTTAATTTTATTATTAGAGTTATTTTATTTGTTTCAATAATTAAAACTAATCTTTATAAATAATATATTATTTATAAATTGTGTCGTTGGTGAAGATTGTGGTGTAAGAAAAATTGTAAGGAATAGTTTATTGAAAAATTCATGAGGTAGCCATGCTTTAATTTGTGATTAGTGTTACTTCATGTTATTTGTGTGATTATTGAGAAAATTGTGAATTGTTGTTGGAAAATTATTTTGTTATGTTTATGAAAAAATTATGAAATGATAAATATATATTTTTAAATATTTTTGTCAAATGGGATGTTATGTTGTGATATTATTGAAAATGAAAAAATTATGAAGATTGTAGTATTATATAATTGTACAATGTTAATACGTCATTATTTGATTTTTGTGGGATGTGTTGTAAGATTTCTTGTTATTGTATTTTTTGTACTACATGATACACTCTTATTAGAGGGCCAATAGGTGGCTTGTAAGGGCTCAAACTAATTTACATTTGGCCGAATAATTTTAGCACCAAATGAGGCTACAGTTTGAAATTAATGAAGGGAGATAAGGTTAATTATTTTCCATGTATTATAATATTTTTTGTATTTTTATTGAAATTATATAATTATTGTTTCTCCTCTAAGCAAGCACATATTTAACTGTTTATAGATAAATTTTTAAGAGAAGAGCCATGAATGGTGTGTGGCAAAGTCCCTAGGCTTAGTAGCATAAATTCATTGTCTCTTTTGAATATTTGAATTTATGATTTTTTAATGTGTTATATTACTAATGCTAGGGTTTTTGTTTATTGATAATTATATAAATTCAATGATGTAATCATGTCTTTCAAACTTTTTACTTGTGCTTTTGGTACACTTTAGATAATTGTAACCTTGATGTCTCATTTATTTTGGATAGTTTGAAATAATATGATTATTAGGCTCTGTAATTAGCTTGTTTTAAAAATTAATTGAGTTATCGATTTTGGTTGTGGGCTTATGGTTTGCATTTTTTGGGAGTATAAGGTTGGAAAAAATGTGATTCTGGCTTAATAGCATGTGAGAGGTTAAACTTTATTTGAGGTGTTGAAGTATGTAAATCTAAATCAATTATTAAATGCTTTTATATTAGATTTATTTATATAAAATGTGTTGGGTGGCTGTAATCCAACTATAATAGTAAATGTATATTAACAATAAAAAATTATTTTGTGTTATTTGGTAAGTTGATGGGTGGTTTTAAGATCTTAAAATGTATAACTATTTTTATTTTTCCTGTTCTATTAGGTTTATTACAAACTACAAAAATTATTTGGCAAGTTGATAGGTGGCTTAATTAATTGTTTTGGGAAAAAAATTTAGGGTGTTATAAGAATCATCACTATTAAAATATAGCTTTCATTCTCAAAATCAAACACATGAGTAGTTTTAAGCATCAAAATTTGTCAGAATAAAATTTCATAACTAATGTCTATGCTTGCATTTATTGATTAATCAAAATTATCATAGTTGATAAAAATAATTTTATCAATATTGAAAGTATATTTTATGAGAAAAAATGCATGCACATACCATAATTAATTATTTTTTACTATCACTTTATAATTTCACAAGATAAAAAAATTTAAATTACAAAATATCTAATACTTAACATAGTTGTTATTAAAATAATCTACATAAAAAATATAATATTTCAAAAAAATAATTTTATGGGTAAATCAATTGAGACGCCATTCACTTACCTTTTATATTATCAAATACAGATAAATTACTCTTAATCGACCCTCCCAAAATAATATTTGGTCCTCAAATCCTAGAGCCCTAATAACACCATTGTCATTTCTTATATGCATAATTTATAATCCAAAATCTCCTGTCCAACATAATTTAAAAAGGCAGAGAAGAAAGAAATCTCAACCTCAACCCTTTCAAAAACTACACCAAACCCTCTCTGTGCGTATTCCTAAAGTTAACATATAAAAACAAACAACTTTGGCCATTGAATTATCAATCAAAATATCTTTTTCAAAAATTTCTAATTCTAATTCTAACTTTTATTATAGAGAATAATTGTCTTCCATAATATTTTAATTAACTAATAATACAATCATTATATGTATTTTACCAATATAATCAAATTTCTCCTAAAAAATATTTTAACAAACACCTTACAAACATTAATTCTTATATTATAATTTCAAACTCTTTTCTATACAAGTCTCTTCCCAACAATTTTCAATATAAAATATCAAATTGACTAACCTTATTAAATCACATCCCTTCAATTACATTCAATTCAAGCTCAAAGAAAATTAACTCTAAATCCACTTCCTCTTACAATAATCAAAATGCTTAAGGGTTACTTGCCTACCTAAATAAACTTCTTAGTCCTCATTTTTAGCTTGCTTGAACATCATCATATTTCTTACTCATGCATAGCAACCCACAGCATGACATGAGCGGAGGAAGAAGAAGGAGGACGAACGGTGCTAAAACAAGGAAGGAAGAAGAAGAAGAAGAGATCGCAACCTCATGAAACCACCAAAGCGGTGGACAAACAACACACCTATATAGTTGTCGGCAACAGGTGATCCAAAAGGAGGAGGAGGAAGGGCGGTGATATGAAGCTTCTCAAACTCACTCTCGCCACATCTATCTCTATCGAAGCAGAAAAAATGAAAGGGGTAGAATAA